CTCCCCACCCCCTTCCGGCGAAGTCCGACCCCCGTGGCAAACGCTTTCATGCCACGGGGGACGACCCCCACCCCTTTACTACCGCCAACGGGGAATTCGCCCGCGCAACGGAACGCTTTTACGTCGCGCGGGCGAACCCCCGAACCCGGATCAGGGAGGCCTCGGTTCAATGGGCATTACTGTCCTGAGGACTCCCTGAGAGTGCCCTGTCCGCAGACAGGACACTACTATCCCAAAAAATTTTCCGGCCCCGCCGTGGAATAAGTCCACGCGGCCCGGGAAACGGGGCCCCTGGTTTCCCAGGGGGTACCCCTCTCCGGGAGGCACGGAGATCCCCGCAGATCTCTCTGCGAGTCCCCGTCGCCTCCCCCACGGTTTTCAGACAGTCCCTCGCCCGCCCCCGGCGGCGCGAAGTCCTGTCCTCCCACCGCGTCTCCATCAGTGACACCCAGTGTGCAATGGGCAGCCGTTTATGAAAAACGACCGCCCACTGGGCAAACCTGATGGTGAATGCGTGGGTACAATGTGGGCAAGCCCACTCCATGCATATCGCCATGCTGTAGTCTAACCTAACCTAACCCTAACCCTAACCCTAATCTGATCACGAATAAGTTGCTAACATGCATGGAATCTATTCCATATTCTCAACCCTCGATGTATTCCACATTACCTGCATATCATCATATGACAAATAAAGTCTTTCCGTAGCAATAAACAAGTTTGAAATAGCAATTAATCTGCATAATATTGTTCATGCAACATGCGTCTGTGCAATATAAGCATTAAAAAAAAAAAAAAAAAAACTTACCTTCAGTTTGTGAGAATACTTTTTAGAAAAAGCTGCCGAATCTTCTGACGTAACGAAAATGAATAAATGTTAATTGTAGCAAAACGGTTAGTCGGACCGAGTTCATTACTTGTTATGACATGTTTGGTAACAGTTGCAATAACTTTCAGCGATTGCCGCCAGATTGCAATGCTTTGTTTAAAAAATAAGCCACTATTCCATATTAGTAGCCTATGCCATAATCCCTGATTTTACCCTATACGCTTTGTGAAGGCCCTCCGTGTCTGTGGAGATTGAGACTGTTTTTTTGCTTTTTAATATTTAACATTTCAGAAATTAAGTGTTTACCAGGTATGTAAATATGAAACCGGAATTTACCAATAGAGGCCATAGCTGTCAATGTAGTTGTCGTCAGGCAACTACATTGACAGCGTCATTGACGCCATTTCCTTGTTCTGACCGCGTCATTGACGCCATTTCCTTGTTCTGACATCTGACAAAGATTTTCAACTCACAACAATACAAGTTTCATACAACAGTATAGTTTGTAATAGCGTTGAACATGTCGAATTTTGTGCCTGGAAACTACGATTTGCGGACAGCATTGATTTTCTGTTACCATTTGAAGAAAACTGCTGCATAATCGCATCGAATGCTTGTCAAAGCTTACGGTGAGCATGCTCTTGGTAAAGTGCTTTAAGTGGTTTAAAAAATTCAAAAGTGGCAATTTTGACGTGAGAAATGAAGAAATGAGAGAGTGGAAAACCACCGAAAAAGTTTGAAGACAACGAATTGCAAGCATTGTTGGATGAGGATGACGCTCAAACTCAACAACAACTCGCGGATCAATTGAATGTGACACGAAAAGCCGTTTCCATACGTTTGAAATCCATGGGAAAGATCCAGAAGTTGGGAAAATGGGTTCCACATGAACTGAATGAAAGACAGCAGGAAAACCGAAAAACCACTTGCGAAATGCTGCTCACCAGGTACAAAAGAAAGTCATTTCTCCATCGAATTGTGACTGGCGATGAAAAGTGGATATATTTTGAGAATTCTAAGCGTAAAAGATCATGGGTAACTCCAGGCGAACCATCGACATTGACTGCAAGGCCAAATCGCTATGGATAGAAGACAATGCTCTGTGTTTGGTGGGAACAGAAAGGTGTGATCTATTATGAGCTGCTAAAACCTGGCGAAACCATTAATACTGAACGCTACCGACAACAAATTACATTCCTTCTATCTCTGAAAAAGTTAAAACTTTTTTAAAAAAAATTCCGGGATTGATGATTGCATATAGAGGCATTCAGAAGTTAAATAGTCTGATTAGAGTACAAAAAGAAATCACATCAATAGAAACACCTTTCAATCATCAGTCATTACTGAGCATAGGCTGCAAACCTCCCATGACTTTGATTGGGATAACATCAAAATATTAGATAGAGAGAATGTTTGGCATAAAAGACTGTTATCTGAGACGATCCACATAGAAGCAAGGTTTAAACTCACAGAATAATATGTTTTCACTTGACCCGTTATACGAAAGTCCATTTTCAAAGTCATAGCGCTTCCTATTATTATATAATTTGTATTATTTTTTACTTTTATGTTTTAATTTATATTATTATATAATTTGTACTATTTTTTATTTTCTATTTTTAAATTTATTTTTTAATTTATATCACATTGTCCTAAATTTGATTTTTCTTTGTTCTTTTTAAACTTGTGAATTTTACATTTTTAGTTTCAACGGTTTGCTTTACGACACTTTATGATTGTTTACGTTTGGACATATGTATTTTGAAATGTATCTTGTCTGCTTGACTTTGTTCCTCGGATTTGTTCTCATTATCTGTCGATACTCGGAACGATTGACATCTTTTCGAATTTATCTGTCATGTAAGCTTTTTATAATTTCTGTACTAGTTAAAATTTATATAGTGTTTCAATTTTTGATTTTACGATATTTGTGTAGTGTTTTTACCAATCTAATGACAGGATGCACATTTGAAAAACGTATGTCACCTACTTGCTTTCATACATGTAAGTTTTCCAATTTGTAAAAGAATTTCCTCTCCACTTATAATTTTAAGTTTTTTAAAAAGGATTTTTTTCTGGTTTTCTTTTCCTCAGCAATTTTGCCAAATTAATGTTATATTTATATTCACGTAAATGGACACAATTCACTGCAACCTCTACGCTTGATCTCTTGTACCTTGAAGGAATTTTTTTTTCGTATGCGTTTAATTGATATGCGTCTTAATTAATTATTGGTACTGAAGAGGACCCGACTTAGGGTCGAAACGTTTATCTCATTTACTGTTACAATTTTATATTGTTTTTTAATAAAAAGTTTTTTATCACACACATCAACTTGTGTCGGCTAATAGGCATTTCATAATTGTTTTAAACAAATTATCAATTTGAATCAAGCTTTGCTTGAAAAACGACCGGAATATCAAAAAAGGCAACACAAAGTGATTTTGCTTCATGATAATGCACCATCACACACAGCAAAAAGGAAACGATTGAGGCGTTTGGTTGGGAAATACTTTCGCATGCGGCTTACTCACCAGACTTGGCTCCGATTACTACTTATTTGCATCGATGGGACATGCACTTGCTCAGCAGCGCTTCACTTCTTACGAAGATGTACGAAAATGGCTAGATGACTGGTTT